CTTCAAAGCAATTTTTTCCCCAGAAGTGATTAAGAAAAGAGATGACCCCTCTTTATTCCAATTAACAATGCAGCACCCATCAGCAGGAATTTTATGGCTCTGTGATGGTTATTTACTGACACACATTTGGGTAAAAATATGGAAAGATAAACTGGCAGGCACTGAGTAAGAAACATGGGGAGGGGACTCAGGTGATCAGTGGTGTGTTTATTTTGGTGCATAAAACATGTAAGGAAAATTATTTTCACATTTCTAAGAAAAGGTTACAAGCAATGAAAAACAAATGGAAAAGAAACCAAGCAATTTTTTACAGTAACATTGAACAAGGGAGGTAAAGGCAAAGTTGTTAATTCAACAGAAGCCAAGTATTTTGGAACAATCCTGGTTATGAGGAACATAGGTTAAAACAGACTAATTTTTCCTTTATTAATGAATACTGTTCTGTGAAACAATGCTTAAAATCTGAAATGTTCCTACAGTTCTTTTTCCTGCAGTGTTGTGCAGACAGAGGAGAATAAACAAACCTGCTCTCTCCTGAGAGCTGGAAGTGTGACCAACCTGCCCTCCCATCCCATCATCTCCACCTGGGCACAGAAGAAAGAGCAGAATCCAAGGCCAATAAAAAGTTTGGTTACCCAAGGAGTTCCTGTGCCTGCCCCTCCCAGAGCCCTCAGCAGCTCATGTGCAAACTCTCCTTGCAGAGGGGACAAGGACACTGGTGCTCTTTAGGCACCCAGGTTACTGAAATTTTCAGCCTGAGAGATTTGCCTCGTGCACACAGATTTTAGCTGGGCTTGAGACCTTGCAAAGCAGTGAGGGGCTGGTGGGGAATTCAATGTCAAAGCCATGGCCCTCAATCCACAGCTCCACATGGACTTCAGCTCCACAGGTGCTTTGGATGTAAGAACCCAAGTTCAGATTGATTTTGGAACTCAATCAAAGGCAGCAGGGAGGACAGGAGGTGCTCTTACACAGGGAAACAGATCCCAGACAGCACAGAATGCTGTGGGCTGAGGGAGAATACAGCAACAGGGCAGCCAGGAGTGCAAGCAGGTACAAATAACTGAGTTTGACTCACTTAAACCAACTATAAGTTATTAAAATGAAAAAAAGAAATATATATAACACTCCCCATTCAGTCTGTGAGAGCTGAAAGTCCAAACTAACCTCTAAACCATGACAAAAAAAAATCTAAAATAATATGCATTTATGTTCCAGTCCCAAACATGCTTTCATCTGAGATCTTTTCACATTGCAAAATGGTTTCTCCTAAACACTTAGGAAACAGAGCTCCAAATAGAAAAGGTTTAATAACCATGTGGACAGCCTGACAGATTGCAGCTCTGAAAGAGCCACCTGAATCTTTTGCTCCCACTGCAGACTCACAGAGGCATTACTCATTTCATGAATAAAAAGTTAAAAACTCAAACAGCAGCAATAAATACTCCCAAAGATGGGGGAAAAAAACCAGCACTCGAGCCAAAGTAATACTTATAGTAGGAGAGCATCCCCTCAGGAATGTCAGCCACTTGTGGCTCCGGCTGTAGCACCACTCCCAGGTTCCCTGGGCTGCATCTCTACACAAATTACCAGGTCATTAAAGAGCAAACACATCCAGGTCCAACAGAGCTGGAAACCAAATTTGGAACCTTCTGACAGAGAAAAGAACTTCACTTAATGACCTGTGAAAGACTGGCAACAAGAACCAGGTGTGACCTGGTGAAAGGCAGGAAAGCATCGGGATTTCCCAGCTGCCTCAAACTGCAATCACCTTCTCACAGCTGAACGGGTCCTACAATACTCATGGGAATAAAATCTTTATTAATTAAGCAAAGTATAACTCTGCCCTTTAAGACTTTTTTTTTTCTGACCACACTTGCACACAAAGAATCATTTTTCACATTTAAAATATAAAAGAAATAATACCTGATAAGCTACATATGGTGTGCAAGGAAAGAACACTTTCACAGAGCATGGAGAGCATAAAGTGCCACATGAGAGCTTGAGTCCCTCCAGATCTCTGGGTCACCACTCCACACCACAAAAGGTGCAAGCCAGGAGGAAAGGGACACCATGCACATACCTTTCACTAGCTTAAAACTGCTTTTATATTTCCAAGATGCACAAGCTGAATTACAAATACATTTATCAACAGTGGGCTATTTTCTCTCTTGATGTAAGTGCCACTAAAAAAGCTTCTGCTTGATCTGTTCTGATCAGGAGCAGAGGAAGTAAACAGAGATGTCAGCTACAAAACCAAGGATTAAAAAAACACTGACCAGCAGAGTCAGACACCAGTGTAAAGGTGAGGCAATCACCAGCTGGAGGGCAAATTAACAAGGAACAACAATTCTGGTAGGCAGAATGAACTTTGCAAAGAAAAGTGCTGTGATCTTTTCTGATCAGATCATCCTCAACTTCATCCTCAACTCTTTGGTTAGAAACTTCTCCAGATATTTGTACTGCACTTGCTGCTGTGGTATGAAATTATTTTTTCATGTTCAACCAGCCCATCAGATTAAGAGTGTAAGCCTTTAGGTAGAACTTTATTTATCTGCATGCAAACTGCTCTAAATCCATGATTGCCATTATTCCACTAAAGGACCAGACTACTGGTTTGAGCTTCTGTCACTAACATGCTGCTCCTTAGAGATCCCACAGAAACAAAATGGGCAATTTAAAAATAGCATTGTTTATAAGAAAGCAGCTCACTTTTGTCCTGAGAGCAGGTAAAGTGATCCTTCCACCCAAGGGGCCTGTAGAGCCACAGCCAGGCTGTCAGCCACGTTCTGCTGCACCAGGGTCATCCCTTCAGCACAACTCCTTTATCCCAAGAAGCCACAAGACTGGCTGGATCCTTGCAGGAATTGCTTTCCCTGGACCAGGTTCTTGGACTTTACAACTTTCTAAGGGGAGGGGAATCACAGAAAAATGGGTATCTGCAGATGATGAACTCTCTGATGTTAACAAGGCAAAGAAATTTTACATAACCTGGATTTTCCCAGGTCGTCTTCCCCATTGTTCTTGTTCTGTCTCAAAACACAGAACAAGGGAAATGTCATCTCAGATGTCTGGAGTCAGAGTGCTGGGGTCTGCAGGGACATCAGATGGGCCTTTGGGCAGACTCTGTATGGAATGAGCCCTTTTGGCATTTGCTGCTAATTGGGCACCATAACGCCAAGTCTGAATGAATTCTGCAGAGTGTGTCTGCAGCACTGGGAGAGGGCAGACAGCTCCTGTGGCTCTCCCAGCTGGCGCGCCATGCAACCCTGATTTCATTCAAATCAAATAGCTATAATTGCTTTTTATCCAGATGCTTTTCTGATTCAGGTACTACAACTGCAACATGAGAGAAGCCAAGATTGATGAAGAGGCAGCCTGACTGGAAATGGAAATTTGGTGCATCCATGTGTGTTCCTACAGCTGTGGGTTCAGAGATAGAAAGGGGTTCTTATGCTATGGTTAAGAAAGACTCAATGAGCATCAAATCATTTTATACTACATTACAGAAGAAACCAGTTTGCAGTTTTGGGCAAGTCTTTGATGTTTGCTTTTCAATCCTAGTGAGTAAATGTTAACAAATGTAATTATAAACACTTTAATCCAGAGGGAGATTTAAAAAAAGCAAACAAACAAAAAACCCCAAAGATTAATTTGATTGAAGCACTACATTTAATCCACTGATGACAAAACGTTCAAAAAAGAATTCTTCCATTTTAGGTATAACAAATAATGAATCAAAAAAAATCAAAACAAAAAATAAAACAAAAACAAAACAAAACAAACCCCACAAACAAAAAGATCTCAACGTTGTGGCCGTATACCAGCTCCTGGCTATACAAGGCTCAGACACAAAACTGACATCCTGGCTTTAAACCACCTCAGAATGATCAGAACCCATGTTAAGGTTCTTCCAACAGAGAACACCAGTGAAGATACCCACTTTTAAACACTGTGTCCCTCATCCCCAGCATACAAAGAGCAGGACATATTTACATGATCCTAAAGGAATTGCAACTCCTTCAAGTACTTTTCAGTTTAATTAATAAAAGAGCCATTGAATATGGATTTCAGGGGATTTAAACTCAAGCAGGATCTAAAATCTGGTCTTTGAGCTGGAAAAAAAAATTAGTAGCATGTGACACTTAAATGATTGAAAAATCCTTAAACAACAGAGCAACATTTTTCTATCCAGTGCTTTGCACAGCATAAGAAGAGTATTCTTAGGGTGATGAATCAATTTTTCTTCACTGGCCAGTTTCCAGGAGTATCCACTGGTGCCACTATTCCACCTGCAACAACCTTACACAGCCACATGGAATTGAGACTTGGATGTTTTTAAAGAGGAAGAATTGATTTTGACCAACACAATTATGAAACCTAAAGCTTACATGTAGATTTTGGTAGTGACCATTACTAGTAAACTGCACAAAGAATAAATATCAGTACTTCCAAATCTGACACCACAGTAATCCTGCTGCTTGATTGCATCAAGCAGGGACAAAACACAAATAGCAAAATCCCAACAAAAGTCGATTAAGCTTTACTTGGTTATTATTAATAGGTAACACAATAAGCTGGTTTAAACAGTTTTCCCCAGAGGATGCCCCTGTGACTGTGTTCATTAGCAAAATGACTTGTAACATGATGGGAAGTTCAGAACAATCACAATGGCATAATCAGAGCTGCAGTTTGTCAGCAGGGCACTGCATTTTGGAGCAGGTAAAGATTCCTGTGAATTTGCAGGGCTACACACATAAGCAGTTCTCCAAGGAAAAAACATTAAGACTGGTTTTTCATCAGTCCCTAACAATAAAATGAACACATCAGACCAAAATAGTTTCTTAAAAGTAGGTCAAAAAATACCCATTCATGATCACTTGTGCATTGGTTTCCTGCAGGTTCACCTACCCACGTGGATATACGTCACACGTATCCTGGAGACAGTGAGGCAGAGGAAAAAACCAAATACATTAATGAGGTAGCTTAGACTGGGTAACTGCAGTTAAAAGTTTTATTGAACAAAAGAAGGTAAAATGTGGTAGTCCAGGTTCACTGAGCAAAAGCAGCTCTCTCACTGAAGCTGCACTTTGTGCTAAATAACCTTATTAACTGAGACTATACAGAGGACACATTATGCAAGTTATCTCAACAGCAAAGGAGAAAAGGTAGATTAAATTTGATCTGATGGAACCATTTGGTCAAATTCAGTGGCTTAAGTTACTGATTCTAGCCCTTAACTACCCATATTCAGTACAGCCATAGCAGAGAATACACAACTGCACTGAATTCCCATTTGTTAATAGTGTGTGCTCCCATGCAAGAGGAAGCCAATTCCTGAAAAAAAACAAATTAAAAAACACAAATATATTTAGGATATTTTGTTTGAAGCATCATTCAACTGACTCAGGAAAAACACTCAATATATGTTATAAAAACTCCCGGCCTCTACAAGGTCTGCTCCTGTACAGTGCTAATATTTTAAAATTATTTTATTTTTTCCCTCTGCCTAAGAAACTTCATATGCTCTGAAAGCACCCACAAAGTCAGGTGGGTAAACAGATATGTCAAAAATACTCTGTGTAAAGAGGGAGGTAGCTCAGGCCCCTTGGCAACCTTCAGAGAGTTCACATTGATGTGGTCTACCTACCCTTGTGATCTGCAGTCAAAAATGAAAGGAAAAAGGATTTCAACATGAAATTCAGTGACATGTTCAATACAAATTTGACTCACTGGGCTCCCAAATGTAAGCTACAAGGTACCTCACACCCAACATACAACATTAATAACGTACCTAGTTCATACATTTTATAGACAATACCCTCTCATTTGTTAAACATTTGGCTCGGGCAAGTATATCTTTTTTTGTCAACCACTTCAGAGACATTCTAGGCCAAACAAACAGCACAAATAATGTCAAAGTCCTTTTTTTTTTTTTCCAGTAATTGTATGAAATGCTGTAGGCTAAGCCTAACAGAAACTACTGAAGAAAAATGACAGACCCATGATGCAGTGCAGAGGTGTTACTACAATGGTGAGCCAAGGGACGGGTCTAAGGTGCTGACAGAGGAGACTCCCTGGACGGTGACCCTGTGTTGTCCTCCGGAGGGAAAACTGTCAGAGTGCAGGCTCGAATGCCACCAAGGGATTCTGGAAGGTCAAACACTTTATGCCACTCATCTTTTTCTGGATCATACTTCTGAACTATTTCCACCATGCACCGGTTATTCCAAGAATATCCTCCAACAACATAGATTTTATTTTCAAAGACAGCAACCCCGACATCGCTTTGCCCACGTAACATGGCGGCAATTGGAGTCCACTGGTCTAGAGTTGGTGAGTAATATTCACAGCTTAGAACATCATCATAATCACTTGTTCCTCTAAAGTGATTGCCACCAATAACATACAGCTTGTCTCCTACAGTACACATGCAATGCAGACCTCTGACTGTCGTCATGGGAGCTTTCTGAGTCCATTTGTCTGTGTCAGGGTCAAAGCACATGAGTTCCTTTTGGAAAGTATCGTGGGTGATTCCCCCTAAAGAAACAAGACACACGTTAGAGGAGTGCTCATCCTAATAAGCACCGAATAACAAAAAATACATTTAACTGAAAGAATTCCATCTTCCTTAAAAGTTCTTCACCCTAGCTTAGATTACTATCACAGAAGTACTCAATTTCAAATGAAATTTGTTCCTTTAAATGGGAATATGGACAGAAGCCATGTCTCACACTGTGCCTCATTACACAATTGATACTGGCAGATTAAAAGAACAAAAAATTGTTACCTATGCTTCTACTCTGCAAATTTATTTCTTTGCTTGTGTTCATTCAGTTTGCTGGTCATGTTTCTCACCATCAAGAATCCATTTCCCTTTCAAATTTTGATACTATGCCACTGTGTTTTAAGTATCACATAGTAGAATTTTCATCAAAACACTTTTTTCATCAACTTCAAGTGAATAGAGAGAGGACACACATTTCAAATAGTCTTCAGTTAATAGTTACCTAGGGTTCCTCTACATTTACCTTCTCCATAGCTCCCCGCAAAAGCATTTGGAGAGGCTCCAGGACAAAAGGAAAAGAAAAATCTGTGGGATCTACATGAAAAAATCACAGCAGACAGCATATGTATGTGCCACCTGCAGCAAAACAAGCAAAATGGGCAAAACACAACTGACAGCAGCACAGCAATTAGGAGCTCAATGGACTTGCTCACAGAAAAATAAGCTCCTGTATCTCACAGTAAATTCTAAAGCAAATTCCTCCTAGCCCACTGGCGCAAGAGCCCCTAAATAAAGCTGCTCCAGCACATCTCCCACCAGTTCTTGTCAGATAAGCAACCTTGTCCCACCTCCTGCCCTGAATTCCAGCTTAGTTCTCAAGAGGACATCCTTTAAAATTTCAGCATGAGAATACAGGGCTGTGATCCCTGCAATGACCACTGACAGACAGATTGAATCTTCTTTAAAAATTAAGCTAATAGCAGATTTTCAGACAACCCATTTGGAAAAAAAATGTAATGAAACTACAACGTCAGTGACACACAGAACATGCATATTTCAAATAAAAAACAGTGAAAGTACAGATATCACTTATATGCTATGATTAACATGAGGACTTAGCCCTTTCCATTACCTCAATGAAGGCAAACGTTGTTCAAAGTTATAAAATTTCCAATGCAGTCCAAAGTTTATAGGGAGGCTGTGTTTAATTGCTATATTATATCATAATCCATGTTATAATTATTTAATACTGTTATACACAATTATAATTATATATTATAACAATATTTTGTTTAATTATATTGCTATATAAATATATATTTGTGGCTACAGAAAACTTTATTCTGATTGGTAAAGTGAGTAACTGCTTTGGAATTCAGAGCTATTCAATTACTGAGCACAATATTATCTACAATAATTTTGTCAGAGCCAGCAGTGTGTGTGCTGTTTGACTAGCCTCATATGAAACTGCATCACTACTGATACCATGGCAATCCTACTGCAACCACAGCCTAATCTGTACTGTCTGCTGCTGAAACAGAGAAAGTTAGAGAAGGAATTGTTTCACAGAGATGATGTCACAGGCATGAATTATTTACCTGAAATGTACATTAACCCCCCATAGACGGTTCCAGCGTGACCATAGTGGGGCTCGTTCATTTTTGCCACGTAGCTCCACTCGTTCATTCTGGGGTTGTAACATTCCACAGTGGCTGTTGGAGACAAAGAGAGCACAGAAGTGGTGAAAGCAGCAGGGCAGTTTGGTGCTGCTGAAACATCCACAGAGGAAGTGCCAACAAGTCACACTGTTCAGCTGAGGGAGTCTCAAGGGAATTATTGAAATTATTATCACAGAAACACAGAGCAGATGGGGTTGGAAAGGGCCTCTGGAAATCATCTACTCCACCTCATCCAACTCCTCTGCTAAAGCAGGGTCACCAAGAACAGGCTGCATAGGATTGTGTCCAGGTGGGTTGTACCGTCAGCAAACTTGCTCAGAGAACATTGTGTTCTTATTTTCTGTGTGCTAATTTTCTATTGTATTGCAGTGTTTTATCAAGGATTTGCACAGCAACATAAAGCACAGCATATGCAAGTCACTACATCAATTTACAGAAGCCAAGCTTAAAAGAAAAAAGATGAAACATCCCTGAATCTGGCAAGGAGATAAGCAGTGCCTGTGTTGATGTACAACTCCATTTGTGCAGTTTTTTCTGAGTTGGAATGTTGGAATGATCAAGGGTTTTATCAATCAGAAATCACAGAGGACAGCACCCAGCAGCACCCAGGAGTGCAGAATGGATTCCTGAGAGGATCCTGGATCCTCTCGCCAGTGTAAGATGGGAGAGAGGCAGGCTACAGGAAAAGGGCTGCAACAATCACAGGGAACAGAAATAGAAGGCAAATTCAATAATGGAGCAAGTTCTAGGTCTGGCACCTTGATACTACAGTAGATCAGAGGGGCACAAGGACTCAAAACCCCCATAATATAGTGACTTTATGATGCACAGAGAAATTTTCAGTAATTAAGTTATCTTAAAGACAAATTAAATCTCATTTTGAGTAATTCAAGGCTGCTTAATCTTTGTTGGATGTTTATGAACTATACATAGAAAAATTGAATGCCTTTAAAAGTTACATTTTACTTGCTGTAGAACAAGGTTTTTATTGAATCAAGAGTAGAAAATCTGAGTCAGCTCTATGGAATCAGTGATGGTGATTTAACAGTGCAGGATTACACATCAACCAAGAGAGAAAATACCCTTAGAATCTGAGAAAATTGTCATTATAAAGGCAGAATCTAGTTAGTTTTAGTTTAAGCCTAATTACAGAATTATAGAGCCAGCAGAGAACATTGGACAGTAACACATAGTGAATATAAAGCACCTCATCCCAACTCCAAAGCTGTTTCAAAAAGATCCTCTGGATCATTTTAGAAGAGTATAGTTATAGTCTCAGACTACCAAAAAAAAATCCCTAGCAATGAAAAAATTAGTGTAGAGCACATTAGAGTGACCTTCTGAATTCTCTTTTAGTTGCTGCCTAACCACTTTATTGTTGCAAAACAGGATGATCATACATAATTCCATGCAATTAGTGTCTCAAGTACATGCACTGAAAATAGAAGCTTCCAGTTCCAATGTCAGAAATACTGTTTGACAGCCAGTTCAGCATCATCTAAGGCTAGAAGTGAAAAACAAAAAATCTATATTGCACATAAGAATTGTTAAATTGTTACAGGACACTGGATTTGCTTCAGCTTTTCCCCACCCAGGAGCTGAACTTTAAATTTATGAAATGCAGAAAAGTGCCAGTCCAGAACATCAAGTTCATGATACAAGGCAAACACACTAAATTTCTGCTTTTTTTCTAAACAAATTATATATGTTGATTTGCATATATTAAATTATTAATTTCATATTCTTGAAACTGTTTCAAAATAGTAATGAAATCTTGAAACGCATCTGGTTCTGTGCGAGTGGCTTGCACAAGGACTCCCAGTTCTGCCAGTTCAGGGATGTGTAAGATGGACAAAAAAATAACAAACCAATACAAAAGAGCTGAAGTCAGGTGTGTCTGCAGTACTGCTGATGTACCAAATTTTTGATTTAAAAAATCTGCCCAACATGGGCAAGTTCCCAAATTTCATCTAAGAGATCTGCCTTGGTTGTTTGGGTTTTCTTAATAAAGACAGAGATCTCCTTTTTAAAAAAAATTGTATTATTTTCCACTTGATATGCTGCAGGCTTTCTGTATTGCATCACGGACTTAGCCACAAATCCAAGGAATGCTGGAGACACTCTCTTGCCCAAAGAAAGGTACAGGCACAAAGAACTGATTCCACAAATGACACCTAAAATTAATCTGTGAGTTGTGTTTCTCTGCAGTGCCACCTTAACATCACCTGCAGTTTTTGCCCAATCCCCAAATAAACTCATGCTCGGTCTTGTAAACATCTTCATCCATTCCAATATTCTTTTTTAAAAGGAAAGCTCCTTTCCACTCTGCTCTAGTTAGCAATCAGAAGCAAAGATGTGCAAAAATTTCAAAACCAGAGGGAAACAGATTTGATGTGCAAGTAATTACAGCTGACCCAGTTGCACCCCCAGGGCAGCCCCTTCCAACCTGTGTTTGTGCTCCTCTGTGCTGAAACATCGCCCTGCTGCTTCCACACAAACTGCATCCCTCCCCAAAGTGCTCCCACTCTGCACCAAGGTGAGGAACTCGTGTTTCTAACACACTCCAAGGCCAGGGAGAGCAGAGGATGTGCAAAGCAAGAGCAGAGGATGTGAAAAGGAGGAGCAGAGGAGCAGCACACAGATGAACTTGACATTCAGTGCTGGACAGTTCTATCTCACTCTGCACTACAAATTGCATTTAAGAGAGAAGCCAAAATATCCCTTTAGCTAGAGAAAACAAAACATGCAGAACTGGTACCCATTACCACCATCACTATCACCATGTTGTAAAGACATTATTTATCTGAGAAAGGGTGGTGCTGAGTCCAAGACCCATCACTTTCTGATGTGGCTTCAAAACTGTCTCTACCATTCCTAGCACAGCCAAAATACTGTCTGCCACTATTTCAGACAAACTATTCCTACCCAAATCTCACACCCACTGTGCTCTAAAACAAAGCTAATCACTTTCCAGCTGAAAACCTTACTCTTCTGTTTGATCTGTGTAATTGTTTCCCTGTTACCTTGCAAGGTCATTCAACTTCTCTCTTTTAGCAAGATATTCCTCTGCACTGAAAAGAAAAAAATATTCAAAATTCCAGCTATTAAAGGTGCCCATAATTTAAGAGAGACAAATTCTTCTTTAGAAAATCTCCAGACAGAGCAGAGTTCACAAAACACTCTAAAACTGCTACTTTAATGCACCTAAGTGAGAGTGATGGATTCATTCTTCCAACACCATGAATGATTCAGACCAGGCTTTATTTATGTTTAACAGTAGAACTTCTGATGTGTTCATTACCATAATCCAGGGAAGACAGGCCTCATTTTAAGAGAATTAAGTAATCTCAAAAAGACAAAGTTTTGGCAGTCCTAAGGGATGTTCAGCCTGCACTCATTTTATAGTGCCATCTGTGTTGCTATTTGAGGAGGATACAGATATTTAACACTTCTCTGTCAGTAGCTTCTAAAGTGTCTGGAGGTCTGTTACAGCAGCACTTAGCAACTCTGTGATGTCCCAAAACCCAGGCTTTTAATTTTGTTACACTATTTCTGTAATACAGCTTATTAATGTACAATTCTAAACTGACTTGATTAAACAGTCCTGACTAATTTTGTCCTAGCATAGCAAGAAGCCACTCCAAAATAAGCCTCTATATGAGAGGTCCTCTAGTTCACACTCTGGTCTGATATTCACAATACTACTCTGACAGTGAAGAGCCCAACTGGGTACTGGTGCATATCAATCAACATAATTAAAAATATATTAGCTGTATCTTGACATACATATATATGTACACACAAACACACACAGGGGAAGTTTTTACATAAACAAGGAGGGTTCAACATCATAGAGGGCATTTTGAAAATAAACATCTTCCAACTTGATGGGCAGAGGGTCAAAAGAACAGGTAACTGGCCTGGCAGTTTTCTCTTTCTGTCTTTATTGCAGCGTGATGAATGAATCTGTGGTTTAGTCACCACCCAACTACCCCTAATGTGTGAGGCAAAGCCCATACATAAAAACCCCAAACTCTACTCCCAGCTATCAACAGCAGAGCCTGAAGTATCTGGGCAATACCTAAATGCACAAGTTTTCTAGTGCTTACACACACAGCTTCTGCCATCATCCAGCACAACTGAACTCTTACAATGGGCTACAAAAATCTTCTTGTCAGAAGAGAAAACAGTCTCCAGTGTTCAGCTGGAATCTGCCAGCGTGCTGTGCTTCACAAGTATCTTTGTGAGCCACACCTGCTTTTCCCTTTGTCTCTTTTCATAAAAACTCTTGTGTTTTGCCCACCTGCTCTCTCCAGGCTGGGCTGCTCTCCTGCCTTCTGGGAATACCTCTGGCAGGTGCCTGCCTTGACATTTAAAGGGAACTAACCAGAATTATCTACAATCCTTCCAGGAGTGGTGCTTAATTCTACACAGCCCTAAGCTGTCACAGGGTTGGAAAAAAATCTCAATTATAATGTCATAATTCAGGACATTTAAAGGATACATTCACCACATTCCAACACGTGTACCATATACATGGAAATTCACTCATTCTGTCCAGTGAACATAACTTTTTCAGTAGCATGCACTGGTAAAACAGCAGCTCATTATTCCACTAAACCAAGTATTACAAATGTAGAAAGTGGCATTTACAAAGTTCTCAGAAGAAGAAACATCTGAAAACTGTTTTCAGAATGTTTGATAGAAAGCCTAAAAAAGTATAATTTTTATTCCCATGAATGTCAGGGGGAAAAAAGTGTTTTAGTAACTTTAATCCTTTGGCCCTTTTCCATAAAAGCCCATTTTCCAGAAAGCTCAATTCAGGTTTTGGGAATTTTTCCTCTCTAACAACAGACTGAAATTAGTTTGAACCCAAGGGCAACTTCTTTAATATCTGTCCAACACAGATTTGACCTTCTCTCTTTGAAAAGCCTTAGAGCTTTTCTCTTCTGAACAGAATGGGAAGTTTAAGCTGGATTGCATCTTCCAGTTGTCAAGGTTTATGAAAGAAATATGAAAATGAAAAGTGACTCACCTCACAATTAACAAGGAAAGAACCTGAAGCCCCAAATCAAAGCATCAGACAGCTACAATATTTAGCATTTAGAGTGCTCTTCCCACAGAATGATCCAGTGGCATTTTTCAGGTCTGTGTGGAAATTGCTACAGCATTTTAATGATATCTTTACAAAAGAATTTTAGATAGGTGATAAATTTTGTATTTTAATTAAAGAAAGCAGAAGAGTTGAGGTTAGCAGAATGATACTGCTGGTTTAATTTAAGGTAACGCTGCACTCAAAGCCTCCTTCACACAGAGGTTGCACTGGCTTAGTGGCAATATTATTTCATATTGATTTTGTCAGACTTGCAACTTTTTCACTGACATTTTTATAACCCTCCTCTGTTCAGATTGTACAGTGCACAAGGTCAGCAATCTGATTATCTGCTATTAATTCATACTGTTAAAAATAGCTCACTGAAGCTATATATCAGGTTTTCTGATACTCAGAGATCAATACATGTTATTTTGCACATTTAGTCTTTCAGAGGATATTGAGATTGTTTAGGATGAATTTTCAGGTAAATAGTGACAATAGTAAAAAATTCTGAAATCCTCAGGATCTGCATCAGAAAATGGCTGTCCAGGGAAAACAGGTTATTGCTAAGCAGTTTCCCATCTTTTTGGAACAGGAGGCATTTTTGCACATCCCATTTCATCAAACATTGAAATGGAATTAAAATTTCTAGCAAAACCAGGCCGCTTTTTTCTGGTGGAAGCAGTGTATGTTTCCTACGAAAATTTGCAACATGACAATGAATTAAACCCGTGTATGTGAATAACCAAGATGCAATAATTTTAAGAAGCCACAGATCCTGCAGTAGAAATCAAGTTTTGCATTGTTTCAATTAAATATGTTTCTCACTGCACTTACACACATCTGTGCATTTCTGAAAAGCAAATCTTGGTACCAAGAGGTAGAAGCCACAAAGGGACAGTTGAGTATTGGGCTGAAGGCAGCAAACTAAATAATGAGATGTTATATCTGGTTTAGATATAATATTATGCTAAACTTCCAAGCATAATCTCTGTGACATTTCAATTTTAAAGCACAGACAAATTTACAGTTGAGTCTCATATCCCAGACTTGACTAAATGTTAACCACTATGGCTTTGCACAATGCAGTGGATTAATAGGGGTCATCCTCTGCATATTTTTATTAATTTTGAACTTACCATGTATTTATTATTTATTCCTAATTTGTCCTTTGGAAACTGATATGGGTTTTTTTCTTCAGTTTTTGTTTGTTTCTTTCTTTTTTGGAGTTTTTGTTTTTGTTTTGTTTGGGTTGGGTTGTTTGGTTTTTTGTCAAGCTAAATTAAATATCCTTTGTGAGGGGGGAAAAGAAGAGGCACCAGGACAGAGTCATTCAATCATTTGTACAAATAAGATCATAGGTGAAATAGAACATTTTTAATAATTAAAATGTTCAGAACATCAGAGTAGCTGAATGTCACTAATCTGTGAGTGAAACAAATCACAGTCATAAGACTAAAACAAAACAAAAAAAAAAAAAAAAACCAAACAAAATAAAAAAACCCTTGGCATTTCAAATACCATTCCAGAAAAGTTCTGTCTTTTAAAATGTAATGTTCATTCAAGAGTGAGTTTCAGCTAGAGCCATGTATCCCTTAGGAATGGATTTTGTTTCTCAGCTGGAGTAATGATGAATTTTTTCTTTTTAAAACTGCATTTATATTCCCTACACTTACACAGGCAGACACAGATGCTCACTTCATGTTTCCTGGTAAAGGTCAAGGCACTGGATAATACACATCAGTACACATGACATTGGAATGGTTTTCTATTGTTTGGTATTGTTTTGTGGGATTCCTTCTAAAATTAACTTCTAAGAGTATGCAGAAAAAATTCTGTATTTGCAGTATTCCCAGAAAGCAGCAGCTCTCCAACGACCTCAGGTTGTCTCTCTCCACCCACTCCCTGGGCAGAGGGCATTCCCAGGCCCAGCACAAGGCAAGGCTCCAGCAGGACTCACCTAGCTCACCCGCCGCGTTCCGACCTCCGACTGCATACAAATGTCCTTTGAGGGCACTTAGGTGGAAGAAGGTCCGTTTCTCGTTTAGAGATGCCACTTGCATCCACTTGTTGTAGCGCGGATCAAACCTGAAGACCGTGTCCACCGCCGTCTTGCCCTTGGTGTCGTAGTTGCTCTGGCCGCCCACCACGTAGAGGAAGTTGCCGATGACGGCGATGCCGTGCTGGTAGCGCGGCGCGTCCATGGGCGCCAGGGACTTCCACTCGTGGGCCTTCTCGTCGTACATGCGCAGCTCCTTGCTGACCACCAGCTGCTGCCTCAGCACCCCGCCCAGCGTCACCAGGTGCGTGCTGTCCGAGCGGATCGCCGTCCGCTCCGACTGCATCACCGGCTGCATGTACGGCATCATCTGGTAGTTGCTGGCCTCCAGCAGCAAGTTGACGCAGGTGTTGTCAGTCCTCATGAAGTCCACTGTCTGAACGTAGTTGATAAGATCCTGGGGTGTCATCAGGGGAAACCTGATGTTCTTCATGAGCTTGGCGGCGTACTCCATGCGAGGCTCCTCGTAGCGCAGCCAGCGACACGCCGCCTTGAAGAGCTCCAGTTCAGTGCAGTGCTTAAGGCTATTACTTGAAAGCACGAAGGCAAGACGTTCAAAGGGGAGTTTCACAAATTCACCAGTACTTAATAACGCAGGGAAGTTCTTCAGGATGAAATTATTAACATATTTATCCACTTCTGTGAGGTTGTATGTGTTGGCAATTCGCCCAACCTCAACACAGTTTTCCAATGAAACCTATTAAGTAAACAGAAAAAGGGATCAAAATGCTTTCTTAATTTGGTGTCTAAATGATAACGTAAAATTTAATGAATACTGTAGAATCAGCAATATTTCAGCATTTTACAGTGCTCAAGGTGATTTACACATGAGCAAATATTCAATGCAGTAAATATATTCATTACTGCAAAGACTCAATTTATTCCTTATTTTGAAGAAAGAACTGAGACAAGTAACAAGCAGATGGCATATATTATGTCAAACAATGATGAGGCATAGCAGTTATATAGCACTTCATCTTTGAAAAGCTCTGAAAACATCTTTGTAAGAAAGACATGTGGAAAATAAAGTGAAGGGACAGGTGATCAGCCCAAGGTTATAGAGAGCAAAACAAAAGTCTCACCATTAGACATTTTCTGACACTATTAAAATTGTATTGGCATAATAAAACCACAGAGAACGGCACAGCTAAGCCCTGCATGCCACATATTTTGGACAACTAATATTTACAGTGTTCAATCTCATGAATACATTCTTTCAAAACAAACAAAAATGGATCTTTAATAAATCAAGGCAGTGTTCTTACAGACTCTGTTCAAAACTAAATATATGTGTCTTAAAAATAAGACAAAGGTAGTGATTTTAGATCATACATACTTTTTTAAAAAGAATGAACCTAGAAGGATTTCCCATAAAAATACCCAGCTCATTAAATGCTTTAGCAGTATGGATCACACCCTAATTTAACTCAGTACTCGAGTGACTTGGTAGTCATCTGTTTTACACTGTAGCTGCATCTATCTTTTTATATCTTTGTCTCCTGAATTTCTCAGGTCACTTGGGATCCAAGGCACAGGAAGGAAGAAGCATGCCAGGAACGGGGCAAACTTGTAGTGGGTTTTCAGTGAACCCAGCCAGTTCCTTTCAGGAAGCTCTCTGGTACATGTGCCCAGCAAGTCAATCAAATGCTTCTTGCTAAGAATTGCAGCTTTTTTGCATTCAAACCTTATTCCAGAGCAAGCTTCATTTACACATGTTCTAGTCTCTGTGCATGTCAGTCCTACTCAGTGTCAACCATTTCCACAAGTTTGTGATTCTCATTACATTCCTAATGTCAGAAGAATTTAAGCTTACAAATCTCACAGTTATTTTAAAAAAGATTATAAAGATTGAGGACTGGACCTGACTGGAGCCTAAGAATTCAAAAACCTTCAAATGACTTCTGGTCATGACAGAGATTAGAAGATTTTAATGCTGTATAACTCAATCTGATCATTGTCCTGTAATACCAGACAATTCAAATGTCTAAGAGTACAGGAATAGGAGATTTTCTTAATTCACTAGAAACTGATCTAACTTGCCCTAGAGTTAAGATCTACAGTCATCCAAAGTCTTCATTCAGGCATCTTGAAACATCTACTAATCCTCTAATCAGGTCCTATCTATAAAATGAATGTGCAGCAGACTGTCAGGAGTTCTAGTACGAAAATATTTGTACTTTATATATATGGAAATAATTTTTGTATTACATGACAGACCACATAGATTATATAAAAATATAATCACACCAACTAGCAACAGCTTGTAAAATATTCTCTGACTGGTTTTGAGGATCAGCATTGATTGCCCAGAGAAGCTGTGGCTGCTCCATTGCTGAAGTGTCCAAGGCCAGGCTGGATGGGGTTCTGAGCAGCCTGGTCTGGTGGAATTTCTCCCAAAATTTCTTCCAAGTTGTATTACAAAATAAAGCAATGAAAAAATCACCCCTTAACAAACAGCTGACTTGCAGTATGCCACAAAATCTTAACTCTTGCTCTACAGTTACTGCACTTAAAAATCCCTTTGCAATACATTGTCTGGCAATAAACTAGAGAGATGCAGCACTTCCTTCACATCAAAGTAGGCAGGCAGAAATTATTGCATACAGGAAAGGCACACTTGAACTTAAAAGATCAAAGCAAAACCTGCACAGGTTCTGTACCACTGGCACATGCCCAGGATGCAATGAAGAATTTGGAGCTATTGCTGGCTGCCACTTATCAAGTGCCCAGAGTGCATTCTGTATTACCATAATTATGTTACACTGCAAATCCAGGCAGCTGAGCATATTCCTGGACTTCTTACATTTGGAAAATTTATTGACACATTACACACTGTTAATGACTGATGAACATGACATCAGCAGCTTCCAGTTAAGCCCTGGTTCTCAGAAAATTTACTTTATACTGCCTTTATTAATCCCCTGGGACTGTACTGCACTCAGGGTTGTTTTTTTCATATATGATTGTAAGTACTTCCCATTATGCTTTTGAAATTGTGCACTATGTTTGATTCACCAAAATTACTGTTACCCACTTTTCTGTACTCTAAGATGACAATCAATGTACCAGCCTAAATTATATTGCAAAGACTTAAAAGTCATAAAAATATATATTCTAGGTTCTTAAATCCTGAGCCAAAAAATAATCCTTCAACAGAAAGAAATGCTATAGCTACTTCTACTTGAATATTCAAAACAGGACAGAGTTCAGCACAATAATGTTATTTAAATAAATATTTCAGTTACACAAACATTGGGGGTTTCTGGTTTTTTTAGAAGTTTGACTTATGCCATGGCTCTGTGTGGAAATCAGTCAACCAGGAACTCTTCAATGAAGAGAAGGAATGCCTACTCTGGAAATCCCACTGAAGTGAACAAGAGGAATGGAAATATCAGGTGAAAATGCATACACTGTACAGTCTATCCAATAACAAGTAAAAATACTCACAAAGAAAGAGTTAAAAGCCATAGACATTCAAACAGTTAAGCAGCTCCACAAGGAGTTGAGAATTTCAGTTAAATAAATCCTATTTTATATGGACTTTGACTACTGAGCAGAGCTGCTCACTCACATTACTCATTGTAATTGCTCATTACAAAACAGAAGTTGTAGAAAATACTAAAAAGCTTTTCAAAAAGAAAGGTCAAGCACAGCACCATGTTACAAAAGCCAAAGTACTTTCTTGAGAAAGCAGTTCACTTAATTCTTTGAAATTTTGGTAGCAACCACTTCCCAAGCTCTCATAAAAACTTAGCTGACTATAAAATACTACAAAACTGGACACAGCCAAATGATTGCAAGTATGAGAGCCTTGGAGAACAGCTCAGGAAAAGCAGCACACACAAAAAAATCCAGCCCTCAAACCCAGCAGCACAAAACAATCAGGTGTCTGACTTTGTTTTGTGTCAATGGCTGTCAGACACTGAAGCACTTAAAGCAGTGCTTCAAAGGGTCAAAGTTTAAAAGAGCAAACAAACCCCTGAAACCCTCAATTTTCCTATGGGCTCCCATTGACAGAAGCCCAGAAAAAACAGCACAGAAATTTGACCAGCTCAGAAAACAGAATCTATTTTACCCCTACAGTACAAAGTCAAATTTCTGGTGGCTGTCAGAGCTGGTCCCAGGGTTAAATCCCACACTCCCACAAAACAGATTAACTTGCTCCATCCTCAGATAACTAATTTTTTTTGACAAGACACAACTTCCAAGTATTAAGCCTTCAATATTTGATTTTTTCCTAGTAGTTACAAAAGTATAAAGCACCAAGTTGTAGATAGAATAAAATTTTTTGCAGGTACATCCAAGACATTAATTTTCAGTGTTTGGGATGTTTTCTTTAATTACAGTGTAACAACCCTTTCCCCATTACCCTGTAATTTTCCTAAGTGCTGTAATTCACTTGGGCAAGTTTCTCATCTTCCTCCATTTTGTACATTGCTGCTACTTTTGCAAAATCAGTGTTGTGTCTAGAACTCACTATCCTGAAAACATTTCCACAGCATTTTTATGAATTTTATTTACATTACAGCTCAGTTAGATGCGAATGTGACAGTAGTCGCCTATTGCACAGCTATAATTATTGAAAACCAATAGTAACAGTAAAACTGAAAACATCCTGGGAAGTATTCCACTGTTTTCTCTGAGAGTTTGTCTGGTTGCAGAGCAAAGATAATCAGAGCAATGGGATACTTGACAGGAGGGGTGTAAATGCAGAACAAATAAAAAAAAAAAAAAAAAACTTTCAAGTCCACTACAACAGATATTGTTCTTTGAAGGTCTCATTATTTTTGTTACATAAATTAAGCTCTTACCTTAAGCTTCGGTTTTTCTTTGTAAATATTTCCAATATCCTCTTACAAAGTACACAATTACATTATGCCTTACATAAGCTGACTTCTATAATCTCTTTAATAATGGACTCCCCTGATAATTGAAAGACAATTAAGCATTTGTCTGGGAATGGTTACCTCAGCTCTCAAGCCAGCTAACTTCAGTAGAAATAAGCTCAATACTTGCTCAGAATATTCATTTAAATTACAGAAATGCTCCTTCAAAAAGAAGCTCATTTGCTCAACAACTCTTGTTTCAACAAATTTAGAAGTAAGGTCATTCAAAAATTCTTTACATAAAGATGCTAAGAACTTAACTAGGCTAACAGAACAACCTCAGTTTTGTACTTCCTCTACAGCTATACCATGAATGAGATTATGTTCCCTCAGACATCAGTCTAAATGAAAGTATTCCCCAAAAAAATTCCAATAAAATTAAGAGAATTAACAAAGTCTTCCTCATTCTTTGGAAATGAAATGCAGTATCAAACAAGATATTTCTTATTTGAACAAAAACAGTGACTGAGTCAACATCACAAGTGAACATACTTTCAGAGAATGAGCATTTTAAACAATAACACGATTCAATATGAAAAAAGTTCTTTCCTTAACACAGCAAAATAAACAAGGAGCTATTCTACCCAGAAAGGGGAAAGGCCACCACAGTGTCCCCAGGGCTCAGCTCCCATCAGAAGGAGCCCTTTTCAAATACCTGATTCAAAACACCACCAAGACCTTTTCCCAAGCTGGTATTTATAATAATGTCAAACCTGGAGAGGCATCATTTTGGAGGTAAAAAAACCACTGAGCAAGATATAATAGATGGGGTAGGATTGAAGAGTATTAAGCTTAATGGAATATTATCACAACATGATCAGACAGGTCAGTTATAAAATGTCTCCCAATTAAAAGCAAAATGGCATTATCAAGCCTGAATATCTCTAACACATCATAGGAAACAAATTGCTGTTATTACCAGCTTAGAATCCTCTGGTTTGCATAAATCCTGGTACATATTTTCAGTTAGGGAGGCCACATTTCTAAGCCTGTACTCCGCATAGCAACAGGAATACCTGCTTCTTTATTTCTCATTACAGAATCGAAAAGCTGATTTCCAAATAATTCTGTAATTTGTGTGGAACACACCTGTTAAAGTCAGAGTTCTACTGAGATATATAAGCATTTAATATCAACACTGGAAAACCTCCAGTCAACGTTAAAAATAACAGCAGAGCGTCTCTCCAGGCAGAACTATTCTTCCACCACTGCTGTTCTAAAGCCCCACAGAACAGGAGCTCCTCACTACTGACTGGCAGGACAGGGGAGGTACTGAAGGACCCTCTCTGGATATTGCTTTTATCCTTGTTAGAGTCAGAAAACACCTAACTGCACCCCATGGAGATGGAGGGGCTGTAAATACAGGAATAAAGTGACAGTAACTGAAGCACACCTAATGAATGCAGCAAGCAGATAATGCCAGAGTGAGTGCAGTCATGCAGGGAGACCCTGAAACATCTCAAATCAGACATGTAAGGGAAGAATTTCAATGTGGTAAAACATTTGTATCAAACTCATGCTGTATGTAATACTCAGAAGAAAACCAAGTTTTTCAAGGAAATTATAAAGCAAATTTCTTCTCTGTGAATCTAAGCTGTGAATAATGGCAAGTTTTAGACATAACTTTGATTATTACATAAGTCAGTGGCATTATAGAAGAAAAAACAAAACTACATACCAAGGCTGTAAACATTGTAAGTGGGAAACAAGTAGTCTTACCCCAGAGATAAGAAATACTTTACAGAAGTCCAAAACAGGTAAAATCTGCAAAAAACTGGCAGCTTCCAGTGTGTCCTGAAGGTTGTCCATATTAAGGGAAAGTTTTGCAGTATAGATGAAATCAATGATCTTCTTTAGGCCTATTTTGTTCACACCATGAAGCTTAATGCACATTAAATCTTGTTCCTTCATTCCTCCTGAAACAGACATGCAGGTAAATGTTAATGACCATTTTGATGGGGTTGAAACTATTTCATAAATTTAGAGATAACCAAAATATAATTTTAAAATTTAATTTAAAACCCCATATGCAATAGTAGAGAGAGATGTTTAGTCCACAGTGTTGTTTGCAGTCCTGGACTGGTTCACAAAAAAATCAGTGAACTCAGCACTGAACTTGTGTCTGAGTGTCTGAATTAGAGCAATTTGGAGCAGCAAACTGGAGACAGACATGGCTTTAATAAAAACACCACCTGTGAACATGGCCTTGAAGTAATCACTTGCAGAAGCCATCATTGCTCTGTGCACAGGGAACACCTCATCACCATCTCCAGGAACAAGCGTCACGTCACAGAGCAAACCTTCCACCCGCAGCTGGTCAAAGCCCTGCAGGAAAAGCACAATGCAAAGCATCCCTTGGATTTGGGAGAACAGCAGGAATCTCTTATTTCCCTTATGTAAATATTTATTTAATTTCATGTACATGTGTAGTGTAGGTCCAAAAAAGTGACAAAGAAATAATTTGTCATCTTAAAACCATTATCTATAATATGTATTCATTGAAGACAAGCAGAATAATCATTATTTTCCAGATACAGCTGATGAATGCCAAGTACATTGAGCCTTAGAAAGTAGTTTTATTCAAGTAATTAAGTTATTTTCAGGAAGGAGTTTATTTTTTAAGCTTTCACAATAGCAGTTGTTTCAGGTAGGGTCTGCTATCTTTTTTGGACCTACCCCTTCTGGTCACATCTGCATTCTAGATATAATTCTGTTCCACAGCAATTTAAGGGGTTTATTGTCTCTATGGATCTTCTACCACACAGTAGTGCCATAGTCAGACCCAGCACAGGACATTACACCAAACCTAGCGGGGCTCTGCCTCTTAGGGACATGTCTAATATAATTAAATAATGATATTTAAGTGAGCTTCTTTCATACAGCTGTCACATCAGAGTTTAAATGTTGTTACCTCTAAGAACTTGAGAGTGGACTGGGATATGACCCCAGGAGAAGGCCAGGTTTTTTCCCAAGCTGCTGCTGAAAGTTGAGCCTCTATCTCACAGGAAAGCAAGTGTGAACATAGTGTGAAGCCATGTTTGCTTGTGGGCATTGACAGCCCAAGAACATGAGAGTTTTTGAGACTTTACAGGAATTATTAGACTAATGAAATCTATTGAGTGGACACATTGTTTAGAGCAGCCAAAAATCTCAGTACAGCTCAATACAGGATGAGAATATTTCATTACCTGTAACACCACAGAACTGTGAGTATTGCTGGTGAAAAACCTGGTGGTTCCTGTCTTCGAAGACTGCAGGTGGGCAGAGACGCCCATATCGCTGCTGCCAAGGGACACTTTCATATGAGGATCCTCCTCTTCCACCAGGGATCTAAGGGAATTGGAACAGAGAAACCTCAACACCAAAGCCATTTTCATTCAGTGATCCTTTGTTTTAAACCCACAGTCTTCTGGGATGAAATGTAACAGCACGGGGGCTACAGGAAAAAAAAATCAGCAGGCAACAGAAGCAGACCTTAGTGGTTCCCTTCAGCTAATTCAAGAAAGTGAAGGGTTAACAGTCTCTAACAGTCTCTAAAAAGGCATAACTGGTTTTTTGATTTTAAGTTTTTCCTTTTCCTTCCATCCCCAGCTCCCTGATTTAGACACTTGAACACTGTTATTTCTACAATCCAGTGTTGTAGGATGTTTATAGAGGTTTCACCTGGTTTCCAAAATTAAGCATCTTAGCTTTTCTTTGCCAAACTGGTGAAACATTGAAACTCTAAATATAATATTAAAAAAAAGTATTTTCATTCTTGCAGCTTGCATTGCCTCATCCATGCATGACTATTCATAATAGAAAATATACATCATGGAGTTTCAAGCTGCAGTTGGAGTTTTTAACCTGCTTTTAGAAACACACAATTAGAACTCCTTCAGGATATGATATCCAGTATTCTGCTACTGTCCAGGCAAACACTTCATAATTTTAATTTAAGATGTGATTCCAAGCAATTACTGTCCAAATCTAGACAGGACAAGCTAATTTTAGGTAGAAATGTTAAAGAATTACTGCAGTGTTATTAGCCTACTATTTTAATCTTCAGATATAAATTAGGTTACATCAGAGAGCCTAACTAGGCTAACCTGTAATTATTATACAATGTTAATAAAATTTTTCTACAGAAATATTAGCAACTGGTTTCTGTAATTTCTGTGATTTAATGTTCTACCTATGAGCCTGTATAGAGGTCTAATGAATATGTACACAATTTTAATTAGCAAACATAAGCTATTAATCCACAGAAGAGGGCATCTCCATTTTTAATCAAGTATTTCCGTATCTCAAAAAAGATTTATAGCTGTTTGACATAATTGATGCAAATTTCAGATACAGAATGTTTTCCAAATTTTAAACATGCAGGCTAAAACATTGGCCTTCAAACCAGTTTCAGAAATTACTTTAAGTAACAAGAATGTGCTTAAATCCCCCTCCTTTTCCCCAGTTTGGTTACGATCACTATGTGATCATAAATCAAAAGGAAAAATCTGGAATTTGTGAAAGAAAAATAATTTTAATGATTTCCTTTTTGTAAAAAACATTTACCCCCACCTTCTTCGGGTACAAAGACCACGTAGAGCACTTTCTGAAACTCACATGTTACCCTCATAGCATTGAAGTGCCTTGTTCAAAGCCATGAGTACAAAAGGTCAGCTACCAAAACATATTCAAAACAAATTCACCATTCAACAGAGTACATGGGTTTGAAACAGTGAGATTTTATGCACACAGACATAACATTGTAGGAACAAGGGTACATCTGAGCAGCTGTGACTTATAATGTACTCAGCTGAATAAACTAATGTGGATGAACTGCGGCATGCAAGATTTGTGCTATTTTTGAAACACAATTATCTCTATTTTATAAAACAAATCCAGAGTCATTTAATAAAGTTTACAGGGTATACCTTAGAAAAGGGCTCTCCAAACTATCTCTGCATCCAACAAACACAACTATGCAACAGAGCAGCAAGCAGTTGCTGGCTCACAACCCAAAATATTTTTGTTCACTCAGTTCTAGGGTGTTTTGGGTTTGGTGATTTCTGTTTATTTCTGTTTTCATACAATCGCATGGAGACAAGAGTCTCACATAATTTCAAAGGACATCCACTCTCTAAATTTGTACTTGTCTTCCTGAGAAGAAATAGAAAATAATGTGGGGAGACTTGCAAGCGTGGGCGTGAAGAACAACAGATTCAACAAGCATGAATCTGACTCTTTGCTCTTGAAGCATCTTCCCAAAATGTCAGATCAGATAGAAGTTACAGGAAGGAGTATTTAAAATACTTTCTCTGAACTCAGAAGAAAATAGAAAGTGAACACATCGTTTAAAATCATTATGAAACGAAACAGACAAGTAAACCAACCTCCTTGGCTGTTTGGAGTGGGCTTTTTACCATGTTTGCCACATCACTGCTTGACTTCCTGACAGACAGCATAATTCATAAGTTTTACAAAGGCAAAGAAGGCAAAGACCTTGAGCCTGATTCATTTATTCCAAGGACTGCTGGAATAATGGAAGCATTCTTCTGAACACGACACGCAACTTCCCATAGCTCTGTTCTCTACAGGTTATCCTCCATAGAACACAATGCCTTGTTAAAACTGCACAGTCAACACAGAGGATATAATAAATATTAAAATACTTGCAATACCTAAAAGTAGACATTTGACATGCCTTGTGTGGCCATAAGCAGTTCTCTACCTGATTTTCAATATATAATGAGCAGTTCTCTATCACACACAAGCTCAGCAGCTCACCAGCTGAAGCTCTTCTGCAGAAAAGATTTTCACTATTTCTCTTCTACATTTGCTGTTATGTATGGACAGAAACTTGCACGTGTGAATGAAGCATTAAAAAATGCAAATTCCACCCTGTAAAAATTCACCAGAGTATAACTTTTACAATTCTAGTCCTAAACATTAACTTGGCTGATTCTGTGTGAATAAAGACAATTAGATTATATTAACCCTACATAGGGTTTGGCTTATATCTAAACAACTATGACCAAAAAAAATTGTGACGTGGGGTTTTTGCTTCTTTGTGGGACCTTGAGGATTTTTGTTTGATTTGTTGTTGTTAAATACACCACTACAACTTAGCAGTTCTGGAGGGCTGAGCACCCTCTCCCTTCTACAGAAAGTGACATTCAGGAGCTGGGTTTGGCAGAAGTTCCAAAGCAAGTCAGCAATAACACCTGGCAATAAGGCACTGATCCCCTGAATTCCAGCCCTGTGACATTCACCAAGAGGGAAAGATCACTCCCAGAGCGACCACAAATTCTGCCTTTGTCACTGGCTTGGTAGCAGCTCACATTTATCTCCACACACCACCAAGAACTTGGCTTTGTAAGACAAAGTGAAACTACAACGGTGCTTTAGCTCTGTGTAAACTGCAACACACAAAAAGCAAAACCCAAGCATTGCATCACATACTCTGCAACAAAATCTTGAAGTATTCAGAATGTAGCTTCTGTTGCAGGGGCTGTAACATTAAGATTCAGAAATAACTCTGCCATTCACACCCAGAACAGATGGGAAGTGAGCTGAATGTCCAACTGACTTCCCAACAAAACCACAGTAAGTACATCTGTCTTGTTTGGACACTTACCAAAGGCATTATTTACATTTATCAACATAGGTCTACTAAGCACTATCATTAACTCAACAGTAATGAAGATAAACATATTGATTTTTTTTTTACTTAAAGTACAGTATATCACAATTAAGCATACTACCAAAGGAGAAAGTTAATTCACTTTCTAATTTATTCTATTGTTCTGATCAATAGAAATCATTAAACAAGAAGTACAGCAGTACTATTTTTAACCAGAGTTTTAAAGAGTTAGGAAACAAAAGAAGTTAAAACTACAGTAGCATGTAGTGAGAATTCACCAGAAGCTGCTCTAAATGTAGATGTTAAAATCACCTTCAACACACTTGGTCTGGAGAGGGTTGAACATTACAATAGTTAGCCAAGAGAATGTTGGAGTTGAATGTGAAATGAATATTAACACTGCAAGAGGAAGGCACAGGAGCTGCCTGACTTTCTGCAACCTCTGGGAAGCAGTGGCTTGCAGCTCAGAGAAAGGTGCCAGAGGTTAATTAGTTGCTATCACAAACCAGGTTGAATCAGAATTTTCTTTCTAACCGCATGTTGATTCTTTCAAGTACAGCACAGTTTTTTCCTAGAGGCTACAACCAAATGTGCTTTTCTCATGACTCCAAGTTAATCCTCCAACTACTTCCAACAGATATTTTTGGAGTGATGAAATACAGTGTTCATTATATGGATATTAACATGCTTTAACTTTCCAGCAAATACTGACAGATTTCACTGGCTGGAGTTACAATGTGATTCACAGAGGCAAATTGCTTTCTAAACCACTTAGCAATTATTAACCTGTTAAAACAGTTCAGAGGCATCCAGGTGATGATAAGCAAAGATCCTTGAAAATTGTGATAGATTTTATTCTCAAATGGAATATTCAAATCATGCAGTTGCCATTTTGTAGAGCTTAGTGGGACAAATGAAATAAACCAATATTCTGACATTTTCTTCAGAAGTAGTTGAGTTTATTCTGATGCAACAGGAACAAGGCAACTAAGAATATTATTGGGATTTTTTCATTTCCATCAGTAATCCATTCATCTATTTCTCAGACTATTGTAGAAACTTTTTGAAAACAAAGTAAGGAGATCAGCCTACAGCTACAGATATTTTAGAGTGCATGTTCTCCAATTTATTTAAAACCCAGTCTTTACATAACTCAGTAAAAGCTTTGCCAAAGCCAGATCGGCCAGAGAGCGAGTTCTTAATTTGGTGAAGCTCAATAGCTCATTTTTGAAAGGACTATAACCTTATTTTCTCTGTCAAATTACTGTTCAATGAAGCATGACCACAAGTGTTCTGGTCACTGGTAAAATGGCTTCTGCTGCAATCACCCTGGCATGTGCCAGGACTCTGGTATTTATCAGGTAACAAGGACAGAGATTTCAATTTCATATTAGGTTATTCTTACTGCAGGCCAAATCTTTATGATTTTATGGCCTATCAAAACAAAACAACAACAAAAAAAAACAACCCTGGTACATCCCAGGGCTATCCTATATATGCACATATGCATGTAATTCATTAATGAATCTATTAATTAAAAGGCCAGAAAAATACAAGTAATTTTTTACTTTGTATGCATAATCTGCTAAAGAGTATTTAAGGAAGCTTAGTCTCCAAAAAACCCAAAAACTATTGTCTATATTGCTGTCTTCTCATTATGAACAGGTGTTCCAACTTCCTGAGTAATGAATTTAGGAATTCCTCAACAAAG